TAATATATTTTTAATATATTCACAAGGGAGGTGGACAGAAAAGAGCAAAGAAGGTTCTAATGTGTCACTTTTACGAGTTGCTATAGTCATGTTAAAAATCAGGTGCTGACTGGAACAAAATGAATTAGCTTTGACCTGTAAACAGCTATTTATTCCCCAAATTCTAATCTTGAGGGGTTATCAGTGGACTGCAACTTAATACATACTAAAATAAATTTATCATCTTTTTTTGACATCATTTCCACACTTGGGTATTTATTCCTCTGTGTTCTGGCTAAAATAATAATAATTTTAGAAGTGAAGGACAAAGAAAAGACACGTGCTTTTGGCTCCAAAAATAAATAAAACTTGGCTCATAATGACTTAAATAAACAAGAATTGATTTTTTTCACATAAAAATGAGTGAATATGGCCACATGATCTGTAGTTTTCTTGAACATACAGCTCTAGTTGTCATGTCTGCTTTTAAAAAGGAGGGGAAGAGGGACATCTGTATGAGGAGAACAAAAGTTTTCCCAAGAACACTACAGCTGACTCCTGCTTATCTCTCAGTAGCCAGGACTTGTGTCACATTGCTGCTTCTGCCTGAGATAAACTAAAAAGCATTCCTCTGGCAGCTAAGCTGTGAACAGTGCTCTTAGGATTGAAAAAGAAACCACGACTTGCAAAACAGACTTCACTATTACTCACAAAATAGATAGAATTTGCCAAACCTAGCATAATCACTACATAATTAAGCTCAAAATATTTTAATATCAGCTTCTTTCTATTCATATATATCCTGGAAGAGACCACAGAAAAACAAATCAAACAATAACTCCACACAGATACACAAGTCCTAAGACTATCATCTGTTACACAAACATTTAGTTTACAAATTCTGACCAGTACTTGCCAGCACCGTGCTATGACTCACTCTAGCCAGTAACACCACCCTTCCCTCACTCTTCCCATCTTACAACTCTCTCCATCCACCCCAACTTTGAAATGCCATACAGTTCTGGTGGTTCCTCCAGTGGGAGGAAGTAAATGAAGCTAACTTTGGCTGAAGCAATATTTCTGGAGGTTTTTGCTCTCAGGTTTTCATACCTGGAAAGAGGTTGGAGAAAAAATGGTTGAGAAAAAGAGTTGGATCAGGCACTTCAAGATGTTTGCCATAGGAGATAGATAGATAGATAGATAGATAGATAGATAGATAGATAGATAGATAGATAGATAGATGAGAGAGAGACAGACATAAATATGTGCATGGGTGTGTCTCCAACCATTCCTTCTTCAAATTTCCATTTAGGTGTCCAATAGACATTTGAACTCATACCTATTATTATCTTTCTGATTTTTTTTCCTCCTCAAATTACTAACCTTCTTTACTACCAGCCTTCCCCATCTGAGGAGATGGCATCTCCTTCCTTCCAACAGTTCTTACCAAATCATTTGAATCTATCCTTATGTCCTTTTTTTCTCTCATATCCCAAATCTGGTTCGTCAAGAAACCTTATTGATTCTGCCTTTTAAATATGTTCAGAACTGACAGCATCTCACTACCTCTTGTGCTAACATCCTGGTCAAGGACACCGGCATCATATCCTTTTAGTTACCCTCCTGCTTTTACCTTCCCCGTTCTCACAGCTCAGATTCATTCTTTTAAAATGTAACTTGCAACATGTTATTGCTCTATTTGGAACACTGCAACAGCTCTCTAGCTGCCTCAGAATAAAACCCAAAAGCTTATGATAACCTACAAGTCTCCAGGACCTGGCTTCTAGGACTGTTCTGGTCTATATTCCTTCAAGTGTTCTTGTCCTTCCAAACTTGCCACCCTGGCTGCCTTGCTGATCCTGGATCATGACAGGCAACCTCTTTGCATTGACCATGCTCTCTGCCTGGAATGCCTTACCCCACATTGGTCTGTAACCTCTTTCAGCTCTTGCACTAATGTTATCTTTTCAGTGAGGTTGTTTTGACCAGCCTATTTAAACTGCAACTCAACACCTTGATCTCTTGGCATGTCAGTCTTCCTTGCATTTCTCTAGTTTTTTGGTTTTCTATTTTTCTCTTTTTTTAAAATAAAACTTTTACCTTCTTGCTTTCTCTATTTTTTACTTTTTAATTATATTTGTAGTTTATCATCTGTCCTTCCTCCCCTTTCCCAGAATACAAGCTTCGAGTATGAAAGTATCTTTATCTGTTCTATTCAATGATTTATTCCTAGGACAGGCTGACATAGAGTAGGCACTGGTAAAGTAAATTGAATTGCATAATTCTTTAGCTTGGCATGCTCGTTCTTTCTTTGATTCCAAGCTGTGTTCAAAAACAAACAAGTAAACAAAACAAGCCACATGCAAAACACCACGCAAAGAAAAAAAAAATGGGTTTAAATCATAGGGTATTATAGTATGGCTCACAGAAAAACTCCTTTAGAATCATTTTCCCTTCAGTGATTTCCCTAAGTTCTACTCATCAAATCATTGCAGCTATCCATAATCTCCAAACTTTTTAGAAAAAATAGGCTTGTGCAGCGTTTAGCTCTTTTTCTTTTCTTTTCTTTTTTACTCTATGTCCTCATTTATCCTTTAAAAAAAATCCTCTCAAAATAGCTCTCTAATTAATCAAGCTGGAATTTGAAAGGAGAAAAGTAAGCAAGATCCACTCAAGGTTTTCTTTAGGTTAGTTTGAAAAGAAAGTTGTAGATATTAAGCAGTAGCAGAGTCTCAGTTAGTGAGGAAAAAACAAAAAACCAAACCAGAGGTGTGCTAGGGATGTCTTGTTAAAGGGTTATTTGAGTGGGTCAATGTTCTGTGAGGACAGCCTAAAACTGTTAGTACTCTCAACTAGAAATGTATAGAGTAAGGGTTATATCAAGAGTGAGCTCTTCAATGATTGAAGTAAAGCGAATATAGTCCTGAATCATACCATGAAAATACACTTCACAAATGAAGATTTTGAACTGGGAACATTTTAGGAGACAGAAGCAAACTGCTATTTCACACATTGGTATTTAGTGTACAGAAGTTGTTGCCCTCAAACAATTGTATATGCTAAAAATGAGCTCTATAATTGGTTTGGAAAATTTGTGGAGATGTGCCACAGGTCACATGTGATGTTCCCCATAGCTAATTTTCCCCTTTTGTCTTCTTACAGGATAAGAAGGTTGTTCTTTGCCCAGTCAGCTGCAGGAACTTGGCAAGATAGACAATGGGACTGATCCATTTGGACAAAAATGCATTTTGCATATTTTTGTTTCTACTAAAATTGAAATTTGTATTTTCTGTTATACACTTCCTCTTGTATTAGTCTTCTCACCAGGAGTATCATCTTCCATTCTTTTCATTTAACAAAATCTCATTCATTCTTTCGGGGTCAATTTAACCCTACTGTCTTTATTACAGTATAACATTAAAATCTCAACATGTCACCCCTAATTCTTTGGTAGCAAATAGTTTAAATATAATGCCCAGGAAACATGAAGCTTGAAGTGAAACATCAATATACAATCTAGGCTGTTTATAAAACTAAATAAGTTAACAGAATTATTATACCATTGCTGCAGTTGATATTAAAAGAATAGATTCTAAAATATTCAAAATATTGTATTACAATTATAAATAAAAATTTTTCTGTATAAAAACATTATTATAAGATGTAGATAATATCAGAACAAATAAATTTAAACATTCACCTCTCAGCTTTTCTGATCATTGCTGCCACTTGCTTTAGGCAGAAATAATACATTATTAATAGTTCAAAAATTATAAGTATATTTATATTAAAATTGTTCATTATTCTGTTTAAATATAAACTGTTTAGGCTATTAGAACTAGTATTTGCATACATGTAGCAGAAATAAACAGTATGCTATGTCATTAAGTCTTATTAAAAAAATTAAGACTTTAAAACAGTTGTATTCTATAGCCACCTTAAACTGTAATGTATCATTCATATGAACACCATTTTATTAAGGTTATGTGAAAGCAAACATAATTCATAATACATAATTTTATATATTTGTAAGATTCATTATATGCCCTTGAGTGACTTTTTAAGGGTTTCCTTTTAAATTTGTTAGAGACTTAAGGTCTGCATTGTGTTGTGAGCAGACTGTGGTAGAATGCATATCTTATTTTAAAACTTAAAAATACTTTAAGGAACTTTCATCTTTCAAAATACACAATCAGTGAAATTATTTTTCACAATAAGATAGTCCTTCCATAAAAGATTTAAAAATAGCTTAAAAGACAATCAGATTCACTAGGCTAACTTCAACTCCTAGTTAGATGTGGTTTCTTGACAGACAAAATATCTCAAAATAAAACTTTTTACTTTTGGAATAGAATTCATTTTTTATAAGTATATTAGGATAGTGTATAAGATACCATCATTACTATTTGTATCCTTCCACTGTGTAAAAATTCAACTAAAGATTATTGAAATTTTATTAATATTCCTCTCCAGAATTGCAAAAACAAAGAATTGATTTTGCGTTACTTTAATATGTGTATTTTGTAAGCAGACTCCATTACTCTAAATATTCTGCTTCAGTAAATTTCCATATTGCCCATTGACATTTGTTTCTTTTCTTTTAGAAGGGAGCTTTGGAGGGGACAGTATGCTAAGACCGAGTCATGACCCAGACAGAGAGAGAACGGACATTTTCACTTGTGGGTATAGAAAGTAAAACTAAAAATAAATGGTTAGAATGTCTCTGTCACACAGCTGTTGCTTGCAGAACCACTTGTGTAAGGCTCAGATTCTCTGAGGGAGGCTGATGGACTAATAGACACCACAGACTATTTTATCATATATGTCCATGTAAAAATGCAAATGTGGTTACTGCTAATATCACAAATATACTACAATAGGTATGTAGAATTGTAAGTCCCTCCTTACCTGTTGTTTTTATTTTTATTTATTTTTATTTATTTTCCTTTTTCACTGATCTCACAACAGACAAAAATTTGAACAGTTTGTTCAGCATGAAGTAGGATGAGAAGACTGTTTACCTGTCTATGATGGCACACATGTCAATGCTGACGTTTGCAAAACTTCCCGGCTTCCTTTGTGCCACTTCGTATAAATTTACAAGTTGATCATCCACTTGAATGAGCTGCATGCATCCTTGAAATGAAGGCTGGAGAACAGAGTGACTTGAGTTACTCATCTGGTTCAGGAAACCTGTGAAACAGAAGAAACAGAAACATTAAATTTGGTGTACAGTATGTTCCACTAAAATTCTTGTGGGTATTTTACCTGGCCACAGTCATCACATTCAACTTCTGTGTTTCTTTGATCCTTGCTGATGTTACATTCAGTGTAGAAGAAGGAAGCCTTTTGAGAAAGAGATGATTTCAGAGAAAGAAGTCAGGGTTGACTTGCCATGGGTTATCGGGTCAGTGTTTGCCTCTGGGGTCTACTGTCACTCATATTTTCTTTTTTGACATCTTTCTCACTTTGTCACATCTTTCTGTCCCTCTGCTGTCAAAAACTCACAGTTATGCTTCCTCAGAGATTAGGGCACAAAACTTTAGAGCTTTCCCAAAAATTCCACCTCCTTCCCTTGTATCGTCAATGTTTACTTATATTTTCTTAATTCCCTAGAGGCTGTTGCTCAGAAGTCAAGAAGCTAAACTTAGTATTATCAGTTAAAGGAAACTATGTCTACCTCAATCCAGAGATATTTGCAATACAAATTGTTTTTCAGTGTATAAAATGTAAGAGGACATTATAAGAAAATAAATTTGGCATAAGGGTCAACTTTGAATATACATCTTATACAAGTGACATAATATGTATGGTACAGTAAAATAAATGATAACAGATGAAACTAAAGTTAAAAGAGTGAATAGCAAAAAAAGAAAAATTCAAACACAATAAATACTGCTGACTTTATTAAGGAATAGAATATATATATATGTATAGCTTGAAATCAGACATTAAGAGTTATATTGCTAAAAACCTAAAATATCACCACCAATCAATTTCCATTATAGTTTTTTAATGGAAAAATTCATCTTTCTTATTATGCATGGAAAATGTATAGGTCATAAAAGAATGGTATTTTTCAATCCCATTAAGTATCTCCCAAAAGTCCCAAAACTTCTACTTTTCATATTGTTCACCACGCTACATATGCTTAGTGGGCAAATTTAAACTGTGTTAATTCGTCTACTTACAAATCTGAAGTTATTCACAAGTTCGCTTTATATAATATTATATCTATAGCAAAAAAATTATATGAAATGAGTTAAAACCAAGATATTCTATTAAATGGATAAAATGAATTTTCAGTAAAAACAAAAATTGTCTATTAAGTTATTTTTTTAAATGTTCTATTGTTTTTTACTAAGAAGAGTTTAGTAGATAACTCCTTTCTCTCTTCATTAATAGACAACAATATGTAAATCCTAGTCATCTGAGTCTTTTTAAAAGATTACTTGCAGAAGTGTACATTAATTTCCACCAACACAGTACTATATAAAAATGATATATATTTAACTTCTTTACTTATTCTATGTTAATATTCACTCAGTGATTTTTTTTCATTTGCATTGACACAGTCCCCTCAGAAAAATGCTGATTTCAGATAAATGATCTATTTAGACTAACTGCATACACACATATGATTTTCAGTTGTTTAATAAAGAATAAATTGAATAAGGCTAATGTCTTAGCAGAGAGAAAACACCCAGTTATAACTTAACTGGCCACTTTTAACATGACTATTACTTGTTTCTACTAATACATGGTAGTCTCTGAATATCCACACTAGTTCTGAAACATTTCAAAATGAGTAGATCTATTATGGAATCAAAACTTCTCTGAAGCACAGAAGCTGCATAAATACCAATTATTACAAATTGTGTATAATTAAGATAATAAAACATGACTTAATCATTCATTTACAATAACATTCTATTTGGTCTTGATAGTTTTGAAGTTTGAAATTGTCAATTCTTTTCAATTTTTTACATAGGATATATTCTAGGAGTTGGTAATTATAGAACAAAATACCACATACAGAGGGGGGGGATAAAAAAATTTTTTTTTGAGAAGTGGATCCCTGGTAGTACAGGCTTCCCCCATTAAGTAAGTGTTCTAGAAACCCATCTGCATCAGTATACCAGTTAGTGTTGTTGTGAGAAGCTGTGTTCGGCTTTGATGAATTTTTTCTTTTGAGATTATTTTAACTCATTTGCCCATTTCATGATGAGTAATTTAAGAGCACACTTGCCCACATGGAGCTGACTGTTCAGCAGTTTTTGACCAAAAATGGCATGGTCCCTGTGCCCCACAGTCGTATTCACACAATCTCACCCTAGCAACTTTTTTTGTTTGTTTCCCTGGATGAAAAAAGTCCTCAAAGGGAAATATTTTGCTGATGTGAAAGAAGTGAAATAAAAACCAGCAGAAGCACTAAAAGTCATCAAAACTGATGAGTTCAAAACCTGTTATGAGTAGTGGAAAAAGCATCCCGATAGGTGTATTACATCAAACAGAGAGTATTTTGAAGGTGATTGAAGTTTAAACATGTAAGAATAAATACACATTTTTAAAAATAAATAGTCTGTTTTTTGGGGGGTCCCCTTTCATATTCATTTTTTTCCTCTCTATACATTATCTTCAGAGTTTCCAAGAGGGACCACATTAATCTTTGCCTTCTGATAGTAACAACCTTTGGTAGTCCACTTGCACACTGAATTAGACCTGACCTCTATGAACAATAGAAAACTCTGCAAATGGAGGGAGTGTGTAATTTCCAAGGCTCATTTCTAACATGGTCTCAAGATTGTGAACTCTGTGGAAAGCCACCATGCCATTGAGATTGGAATAATAACTTGGTGGTTGCAAGAAGATGGAAAATAGCAGGTAGCAGATAAAAATTATATGTCCAGCCAAGGAGGAACTGTTACAACTAGCTATAAAGACAAAGAGCACATAAGATCCTAAAAAAACAAGATGCAATGAAACCAGTTAAGACCAGCTGGATTCAGCATGGTGACAGATTTGACTGGCAAGTGACCTCCAAAGTCACTATACTCCTTAGCATACTAAGTGGCACACCCACCAGAATCTTAGCAGTTCCTGTTTTGACCAAATAAGGACAGAAAAGGGGAGCATACCCAATTCCATGAAATCTCACCTTTCCCCCAGAAAACCTGTGAATATTCCACCCCTTAGTTAGAGATAGCTTGCAAAAAGAAAAAAAGCTCAAGCCCCATTGGGCATGAATCACTCTCCCGAGTATGCCTACACTCTCCCTTGAGTGTGTATGTTCACATTACAATATACCTCCTTTGCTTCTGCTTCACTCTGACTCATTCTTGAATTCTTTCTTGGGATAGTGTCAAGAACCTGGATACTGGGCTGAGGCTGAAAGTCTCACCTGCTTCAGGAGACACTCCCAAGCCCTCTGGTATCATATCACCACAATCAGTCATATAGAGAGGCTCACAAGAGGTAATACATGATTATCATAGCTTTAAATTAATTGGGTATGCAACAATACAAAATGAATAAAACATAAAAAATGAAATATTGGCAGACAGTTGTAAGAAAAACCTACAAATGTGGCAGTGATTTAGAGAGTGGAACATGCAGATAAGCTGAATGCACCTTAAAAATCTGTGGACCAGAAGCTGATGACTTTTGAGAAGGCTGTCAGTAATGACTTAAGGCACTGGTCCCCAACCTCTTTGTCATTAGGTACTGGTTTCATGGAAGATAATTCTTCCATGGACTGGAGTCTGGGGGAATGGTTTCAGGATGATGCAAATATATTACTTTTATTGTGTACTTTGTTTCTATTATCATTACACTGTAACATACGATTAAATAATTATGCATTTCATCGTAATGCAGGGACAGTGGGAGCCCTGATTTTTTTTTTTTTTTGCAACTAGACGGTCCCATCTGGGGGTGATGGGAGAAAGTGACACCTGAAGTGTGTTACTTATGTCCAGTGTACTCTGTAATTTCATTTTGGTTGCTGTCACTACAGAAAACCCTGCTTCACAAGGATAGGATGTTTGATATGGAAGCAGGCTTTTCAGTGCTGATCTGACAGGAGATGGGACTCAGGCGGTAATGCAAATGATGGGGAATGAATGTAAACATAGATGCAGCTTCACTCATTTGTCTGCCACTCACCTTCTGTTGTGCAACTCAGTTCTTAATAGGCCATAGACCCAGGGATTAGGGGGCCCTGGCTTAAGGGAAAATAAAGAAATTATTCTTGGAAATGAGGGAAAATCAGATCTTTACTATGTTGTAGTGAAAAGTTTTTCAACATTACTTCCTGTGATAATATGGGGTAAAAAAAAAATGGACTTAAATAAATTGTGTAATATAGCTAAGAGCATTTCCAGGCACAATAGTGAAGGGTCTGTGTGGCATCTTCTTTTTATTCATAGTAAAATAAAAAGGAGAGAGAAAAACTAAAGAAGAACTGTTAAATATTGGAAAACCAGGACTTAATGAATTTTAAACTAAAATGTTGTTTCAATTCCAGTCTCTCCAGATAGTGAACAATGCAAAAAAAATTTCTATAAATCACCTTCAGGCAAAGACAAAATATAAGAAAAACATAATCTAAAAATAAAAAAGAGTGACTGTACAATTCATGTGAAGATCTGAGAAAAATATTAGGTAGTGCATCAGAGAACTATTCAGTGAGACAAAAGACTTTCTAAGCAGTATATTGGTGTTAAACAATAATAGTTCTAATAATCTCTAGGGCTTCTGTAGCTCTGCAGAAGCATAAGTGAAGAGGAAGGCTTTTTCTTATGAGACTGTGAATTTGTCTTTTATTTAATGAAGTAAACTTGAATAAAATGCATAGAAAACCCATCTATTTTTAAGAAAACTGTATTGGAGGTAGCACCACCAGCATGCACTGAAAGGGATAGAGATGGTATAAAATGGAAAGAGGCTTTTGGATCACCATACTTACAGTCAGAAAACCACACAACTGCAAACTCAGGCAATTTTTTTTTTTAAAAAGATGAATGACTCAGAGTGGCAGAACTGAGAACATGAAGGGCAGAGCCAAGTGTCGTGGAGAATCATTGCCAAGAAACAATAGAACCGAGTCCTAATCAAGGAATCACTAGATTTCAGATCTACTGTGGACTAGGGACTTCTTTGTGTTTCTTATTTTTCCTCTTTTGAATCAGTGA